AAAATATATATATATATAAATAAAATATTACTTTGAAAGAATCCTCAAAAGCATAAACTTTACCAAGTTCAGTATGTTCAATTCATAAAACTATATATTTTTATGTGTCATTGACAATGAAGTTAACATGTGTCAGACCAGTTACTACAGAAAATGAATTACTGCAATTATTTTACTTGAATGAAGGAATTAATGAACATGTCTTTTTATTATGACTGAATATTCAAAAAAATGAGAATCACAAGTTATTTCCTACAAAAGCAACAGCACCACCTGCTGATAAACAAAAGCAACAATGTCTGTTAATTAGAGACAAAAAGTAACTTAGATCTTTCCATTGAATTCTATTTTATTTAATATAGTGAAATTCATGAATACAGTCTGCATATTTACTTATGATTATGATGCTAATTTGAACATTTATGAGCTACATATCTGAATCATGCATTTCTTAAAAATCAAAGATAAAAATAAATATTATGGAATCTAGGAAAAATTACTTATGGCTCTAATTTTCATTCCATATGTAACTCATTTGTACCACACTTTATTTTCCTTACCACCCAGTAATACACATTTAGTTTGTACATTTTTTTTAATATTCTCTAGTCACCTCACCTAAAATAATGTTATATTCCTTTCCTACCTGAATTTTTTTATAGCACTCACTAGTATTTGACATATTACAAATTCCTTTGGAGTTTTTTATGTTCATAATCTCTATCTGTGGCAACAAACACTCAAAAACAGGGAATTTATTTTGTTTACTAAAGTTTTTTTACTAAATAAAGCATATAATATACTCTTGATATTTGTGAAATATGAAAATAAATTAGTGAATGAATATGCAATGCACTATATACTTTCTTGAAGGTGTAACAGTTGTGTCAACAGTTACAAGGCTCTCAATAGATTTTACCAAATTATACTTGTGGAAAGTTGTACCAACTAATTTTACCATGAATGCTCTATAAGGAGAGCATTTTCATCTTTTCTGATGAATAGGGAAATGATATGATATTCATTATGTATTTTTTTGAGTTCTGGGATTATTTATACTTCTTTATCCTTTTGTTCATTTTAATTCTAGAATTTCTATTAGATTTCTTTTAAAATAATTTCTGTCTCTTCGTGGGTATTTTCTACTCATTCAGACGTTATTCTCTTTTCTTTTAGGCCCTTGAACATAAAGATCACTGACTTAGTCTTTGTCAATTAAGTCCAATGCTGGGCTTAGAGATTACTTCTGTAAATTTCTTTTTTTCCCCTTGTGAATGGGCCATACTTTCCTGCTTCTTAGGATGTCCTGTAATTTTTTGTTGAAAAGTGGACATTTTTAATATCATAATGTGGTAACTCTGGAAATCAGATACCCAGCTCTTCAGTGTGTGTTGTTGCTTGTTGAGGGCTGCAGACTTCTGTTTACTTAGTGACTTTTCCAAAATATTTTTGCAAAGACTATTGTTTTCACCTGTGGTCACTTAAGCCACTATATCATTATTTCAGCAGTCAGAATAGTCACTTGGTAGAGCGAAAAAGAGAATATTCTATCCCATTCTTTGTCATTTAGCTCTGATGTGGGTCACTTCTTTTAACACCTAACCAAGCCTGCAACTCTGGTTTAGTTTTCACTCCCATCTTGTGCATAGCATGAAGATTTGCTAGTGTTACAAACTTAGCATTTTCTCTGATCTTTTCCAAGCATGTGTCTTGGGCCTGGGCATATATATTATAAACTGGACTCCTCAGTATTTGTAAGAGCTTGCCAATGCCTTTATTATTCCATGTATCTTCCTCCATAGTCTCGTCTTGCCCAAGAGTTTTGGTCTGTCTGCTGCTTGCACCATCCATCACCCCATCTCAATTGGCTACAGGGAGTACATGTCTTTATGTGCTTTTAAAGATGACACCTGGCACAGGCTGATCTAGATCTCCCCACACAGGCTGAGGATGTAGCTAAGTGGTAGAGCACTTGCCTAGCACAAACGAGGCACTGGGTTCAATTCCTAGTATTGCAAATTTATAAATATTTAGTTCTGAATCATGGACATGGATCAACCTTAAAAATGTGCTTACTGAAAGAACATAAGAAACGGCCATTAAAAAAAAGGCCATATAATGTATTATTTCACTTACAAAAAATGAGAAAGATTATCTCCCTACCTCTTATTATCTAGCCTTTATTTTTTCTTTATTGGGGGGGTAAAATAATAAGAGAAACCATGCAATATTTAAGCCTGTGTCTGGTTTATTTTATTTCACCTAACATTATGGTATCAAGACTTAGCAAGCTTTTTGTGAGAGAGAGCTAAGTAATTGTGAGAGAAAAATGGCTGGCACCAGCTGACAAATTTTCAGCTTTAAATTGGCCCAACTTATTCTGACACCTGCAGTTATTACTGCTTACTAATTAAGCATAAAAGGTGAAGAGTCTCAATCATTACTTACTTTTCATCACACTAACCTACTTTGACTCTGCAGCTAGATCAATTCTCATTACTAGCAGCAGCCTGTACCTGCCTTTAAAATTCACCACAAGTGTAATTAAATACATAACTAAATGCGTATTAATTATTTAATAACCATTTAACCAACAAGAAAGGCACAAAGGCAAGGTATATTTGGCCTTTTTAAAAACATGAGGAAAATATTTACTGTATACAAGTAATTTTTAACTCAAAATACTTATAGCAATTATATCATAGTGAATAGATATATATGGATATATATGCTCCGTCATCTTAAAAATAATTTTGTCAAAAAAAATAATAATTTCGTCACAACTAATGCATATTTCTAAAATAAGCAGTTTCAAAAGCAGTTTTAAAAAAGAAAGGCTGAATTACACAATTAGAGGAACAAAAAGAGATTTTGCAAGCAAAATAAAAATAAAGTACAAAGTTAGTTTTTACCCTATCTCAAAAAACAAAAAACAAAACCAAAACACACAAAAAAAGTCCTTGGTTTGAATATTTTAGGAAATGCAGGTAGGCAAAAAGGAAAGCTAACCTATCACCCCAAACTCCAGCGATAACTACAGTTAAAATCTGTTACGTGCGGTTAGACTTTTTTTTTTTTTTTGAGTCACGCTCTCCCTATAAAGCTCAGGCTGGCCTGGAATTCACCTCAATCCTCTGGTCTCAGCCTCTGGAGTGCCCAAGTGCCGGGATTACAGGCATGCACCCTCAATACTGGCTATCAGGCCACTTTTTATTCAGACTTACAAAGTAGATCAATCTATGCATAGAATTTGCAACTATTTCTTCTTCTGATCATGTACTGTACCTTAAAAATATCTTCATGGTATTATAAAATAATTAAATAATTCACTATAACAATTATATGACATAATTAAGTTAAATAATGTTCTGTTGGAGATTTTGATTGCTTTTCATTTATTAAATATGCATAATGCTTCACTGAACATACTTTATCCTTAGATAAATTCCTAGAACTGGAATTTCTAGGTTAAGGTACATATATATTGCTTGCGCGTTTGATGTATAATTTCAAACTATCTTCCAGAAAGGTTTGAAAAAATATATACATACATATTATGAAATAAATATATATTTCTAGCAACTGTTCTAGGGATAAAACCTAGCTAATCAAGTAATGCATTAAATCTAAATGATAACTGCATAAAGGTAGATACATAGGTATTGTAGATAGCTAAGCTAGTTAGAAAATATCATAAGGCAGTTAGACAGGGCTGGGCCCTCAGCACAGAAGACAACTGTGGCCTGAGGCTCATTTACTGAAGGCCAGGATTCAAAAAAGAGAACAGCTAAGCGCACATAACTCCCCCTAGGGTTGAACAGCCCCGACTGATATTCTAAATAGCTATCAATTTGCACTTTGGGTGGGGACCAAAACCTACCTAGCCCATTCCTTCCAGGAAATCCCTTGTTTGATTGTGTACACTTGCTATAAGACTAGCTTTCCCATTTTATCCCTATTTAATCAATATTACCTAAGTGACTATACTTGCTATAATTTTATTAGTTGACTATAGTTTTGTCCCACCTTGAACCCACCTCATCTCATGGCTTTGCTCAATAAAACACTTTTGAGAGGTGGAGTGGACGGGCAACCCACTTTCCAGTCCCCTTCTCTCTCTCAGACAGAAGCTATTTTTCTCTAAATAAATTCCTCCTACTCTTCATATACTATAAATGTTTTCCTTCTAACAAAATGGCAGAAATAACAGAAAAGTAATTTTAAATGAAGTAAATTCTAAGGAAGAACCAGAAGAATAAATTACAAAAGATTTTCAAAAACTGTAATCTTTTCAGGGTTAGAGGTGTAAGCTCAGTGGTGGAGAGCTCAGGGGTTCAATCCCCAGCACCAAAACAAAACAAAATAATCTTCTGAATTAAACTATTCTATTTTGATATTACCTTCATTATGGTTTATTACTTCATCTCGAAATTATTTTTCCACAGTTGGGTATATATTGCCCCTTTCAGAACTCAAGAGAAAATATCAAACATCTCACATGTTTTATTCATGTCTTCTTTCAAGTGCAATTTAAGGACCACCTATATAAAAATAACTAGGGAATGTAAAAGGTACAACTTTCTGGGCTCCAGGTGAGATTTTAATTGAGCACATTGCAAATAGGGCCCAAGAGTGTGCTTTTTTTCTTTTCTTTTGTTTTTTGAGACAGGATCTTGCTAAGTACTCCAGGATGGCACTAAACTCACTATGTAACCCTGGCTGGACTTGAATTCCTGACAATCCTCCTGCCTCAGCCTCCTGAGTGCTGGAATTACAAGTGTGCACCACCACACCGGACAATTGTGCATTTTAACAATATGTAGGTGATGCATATGAATGCTAAAATTTAAGTAACTTATTATTATATATATTTTATTCTGACTTTTTATTATTATGATTGACTAGCATTACCTCTCATAAAAATTATATAAAGCTGGGGCAGAGATTTAGCTCAGTGGTTCTGCTGCCTGCCTTGTAAGTGTAAGGAGCCAAGTTCGATCCCCGGTACCAAAAAAAAAAGTTATATAAAGCCAGGTAATTTGTATCACAAGAGATCATTATCAGTATGAAAATATCTTTTCTTTCCTTTGGTACTAGGGATTGAACTAAGGGTCTTGTGTGTGCTAGGCAAGTATTCTATCACTGAGCTACATTCTTAGCCTTTTTAAAATTTTATTTTGACTTACAGTGTTGCTAAGTTGTCCAGGCTGGCTTCAAACTTGCAATCTTCCTGCCTCAACCTCCCAAGTAGCTGGGATACAGTCATGGTTGGATGAAAATATCTTTTCTGTTACATCTGGCACTCTGCAATGCATCTTATTTACACTGCATATAAAGCACCACAATCTCTTACACTTTAAGGCACAAGAGATTCCTTTTACATACAACTCTCTTCCCCTAACTTTGTCTTCTCAGAGAGCTAACTCACTCAGCCTCAGCTTTCTAATCTGTGTCTCACAGGTAGAGTTTGGCTCTTGCACACCTTCACAGTGCTTAACAAACCCATAAGCACTCATCATAACTGTTCTAATATAAATCTTATCATCTGATTCTCCTAGTAACAACTGCAGTGAAAATTTACATTTTTTTCATATTTCAACCCCTAGTTTCTAGAACATTCTTGGATGAGCAGTATACATTTAATGCCTCTTGAACAAAAGAATATGTATTTAAAATGTTAGTCTCAAATCTCTAAAAATCTCTAAATATAGTCAGCATATTCAGCTTACTTTTCCAGAATTATTTATATTCTTTAAAAAGATAATAGCAGGGCCGGGGATTTAGCTCAGTGGTTCTGCTGCCTGCCTTGCAAGCACAAGGTCTGGAGTTCGATCCCCAGTACCAAAAAATATATATAATAGTGCCTAATGAGGTAAACCTTTGGGTGTTATTCAGGTTAATTTAATCCCCATTTAAAATTTTAAAAATATTTAAATCAAAATAATGAATTAAAATTATGCTTAAATTCTTAATTAGAATATCTAGCATATTTTGTAAATATTAAAAAATCTTTAAGCTATAAGATCCTATAAATTTCAGAATTAAGAATAATATGCATAAAACTAATATGGATACTATAAGAGCATAATACATTGTGAAAATTAGACTATTGACAAAATCCATTGATTAAAAACACCTGAGGCAAAAGGTCCTTAAGTCCAAAAACAAAACAAAACAGGATTTTAAGTGATGAAATAACCTGAGAAAAATATTATAAGTGAGAAAAAAGAGACCTAGGTGAGAAAGAAAAACAGATAAACAATCTTTAGGTCAACTACGAAAGATATAATGAAAGGATGTCAAACATTAAGCTAGACCTTTGGACCGACTCACTACATATTAGAGGTGAGGGTATTCCATGAAAAAAGAAAACAAATGAGGATGTTAGTGAGGGGCAGGAAAGGTTTGTGAGCCAGTGTTTGACCTGCACTAATTTGCACACATACAAATTAGAGAGCTGTAGGGGAAAAGATCAAATGGATATTATGGCACCAGATTTCAGAGAGCTTCTAAAGCCAAACTGAGGGCTATAGCTTTATGTGATGGAAAACAAATAACCAGAAAATTTAATAAAACATTTATAAAGCCCTAAAAATTCTAAGCTCTTATTTTGTATTTGAAGAAAATGAGTCATAGAACAATTATGTGATTTCCTCATAGTTCAGAATAATATGGAATAGCCCACTGCTACAGTTGGGATCTTAAATGTTCCCCCAAAAGCCCATCTATTAAAGCCTTGGATCCCAGAATGGTACTACTGGGAGGTGGTGGAACCTTTGGAAAGTGGAGCACTGTGTGTGGGAGGCCCTCACGTCACTGGGAGTGCGTCTTTGAAGGAGACTGCAGGACCCTGGCCCATCTTCATGCTCTTTTGCTTTCTTGCTGAACAGGTGAGCAATTTTGCTCTGCCTCATGTTCTTATCAAGATGCACTGCCTTACCACAAGCCCAAACAGATGGAGCCAATCAATCATGGACTGGAACCTCCAAAACTGTAAGTAAAGTAAGTCTTTTCTATTTATAAGCTGACTATCTCCAGTATTCTGTTATAGTAACAGAGAGCTAACACACCCATTCAAGTTCTTTTGCTACACAGTGATGTTGTTTTGGGACCACTTCAATGGAAGAACTCTTCAAGAGCAATCAGCAAAATGATGCTGAGCTTGGCTGTTTACCAATGTTCCCAACAGAATTTGTATGACAGAGGGCACATTCTCAAGTGGAAGAATTCTCACATATATTCAGATATGAATTCTTAAAGACAAATATGTCCTCTTGGTTTTAAAATGACTTTTTAAAGTTTACTACTAATTCCTTACAAAAAGTATGCAATCAAAATTTTATATGAAACATATAATAAAAACAAATTTAAAACTAGATTCTCTCTTTTGAATGTGCATACATTTTAATACTTTACCTGACCATCCTTCATGATCAGACTCAAAACAAGTATTTCTAGAAAGAAAGAGTAGAGTACATGTTCATTTTTCAAATCCTAACAGTTTCTCTGGCCCCATTAAACTGAAATTGATGGAAATTGCATATTAAGAAGATAAAGGAGAAAGATTCAGTCAAATGTAGTTGCTGAAAATGTTTTTTAAAGATGGGGAGCCATGTGTATGATACTTTACCACATTTATGACAGCATATCTGTGACTGCTCACCATTACCACTTACCCCAGTTTTATCACACAAGCGTAAAGTATGAAATGATCCAACAGCAAACAATTCTCCATCTGGAGCCCAGGCAACTGAGGTAATAGGATGCTCATGAGGTTGTGAACTGTACAATGGACGGCCGTAACTATCCCATACCTATAAAAGCAAACTTTTAAAAATGTAGAACAATCACCAAATTCTCCAATACAGTATCAAACAAAGATTAATAAATCATCACCTTACAACATTAGCAACTGAATGTCTTTATTATCATACAAAGGAGAAAAGAGCTGTATTCCTTTAAACCAAATATTTCAAAGAAAATTTTTAACATTATAATAATTTTCAATTTTACTCAACCTTGGATTAAACCTACCCATTTTGAGTGCTTTAAACTTAATAGTAAAATTTTGAGATATTTAGTATTTTTCATGATTTTCTCTGTCTACTGAAGGCTCTATCAACTTTCTCTAAAATAATTTATTTCTATTAAAGTTTCTCTAACTATAATTACATTAAGTCTTATTCTTGGGGCTGGAGGTGTACCTCAGTGGTAGAGTACTTGCTTTGCATATGCAAAGCCCTGGGTTTGATCCCTCAGTACCACAGACAAGAAAAATCTTAATTCTTCCCCACAAATTATTTTGCTTTGAAACAGATCAGTGTTCAGTAAGAACTTAAATGAGCTGATTTAAACTGAGTCATATTAACTACTTATTAAATCAAATTCTATATGTCAACAAGATAGTTTTTATACCTGGAACTTTAGAATACTACTTAAAATAGGAAACAATTAGCAAAATTAGAGTTAAAATACATAGCTGGGTGGGGGTTTAGCTCAGTGGTGCCGCCACCTGCCTCGTAAGCACAAGGTCCTGAGTTCAATCCCCAGTATCAAAAAAAAAAAAAGAATAGCTAAAGTAAAACATTGAAACTATATTCTTATATGTTAAATATTTTCATCTAAATTTGATTCCTTCAACTAGGTGGTAAGTCTAAACTTTACTTACCTTATATTTACAATCTTCACCAGCAGATAAAATAAGGTCATTGACTGAGTTCCAATCAACTTTCAAAATAATACCATCATGAGCTTTCCACTATGAGAAATAAAAAAGACAATAATTAAATTGTAAATGTGAAGATTTTTCTATAAGGAAAAAAACTCTTTCTTTTCTTTTTTGCTAAGATTTTTTTTTTCTAGATTGCCCAGGCTGGCCCTGAACTTCTGGTCTCAAAGATCCTTCTGCCTCAGTCTCCTGAATAGCTAGGACTTCAGCTACCACATCCAGCTCGTTGCCTCTATCAATTGACTGTTTTGTCATCAACTCAAAAAACTCCTATATTCCACTGTGTAATCTGATAATCCTATATTCACAGCCACTGTGTAATTCCTTATTTGTGTCATTTGTAATTTATACCAATGAAAGCACCTGACATCCTCTCTATAGGTTACTCTATGTTGCTTGGACTCCAGATGCTGCTGAACTATTTCAAGTTTCTTTGTGTGATAACACTGGAATATAATATATACTCCAAAATATCAGCTGAATCTAAATCTTGCTGTCTCCTCAGTATAGGTGATCCCATTACTAATACTGATACTGTCTTCTTACTTGGGTCCCCCCCAACCCTGTCTCTCTCTCCCTCCCTTTGTTCCTTGTGTCGGGAATCAAACCCAGGGCTTGACACATGTGAAGTATGCCTTATCACTGAAGTATACCACCAGTCCATTTTTTTTCCCTTTTGTTTTTTAGCACCAACTACATGAACATCTTTAGTATTCTCATTATTCTCTTCTGCATATTCCCCTAAGCTTCACTGTCTTTGCCTTTTTAGGTCTGGTTCATAGCTGGACAACTGAAAATCTTCTGCTGCATTTATTGTATAACAAGATAATGTTTTCTATACATATATATATAAATTATATATGTATATATAAGTAACCCAGGTATTGGCAATCTAGGAAGTAAGCATGGTATCTAGCTCTTAAACATAATTCATTTGACCATTTAGCTATTACCACACATGTAATTAAATGCTACCATGGGCAGAGAAATATAACTAAAAAGAATTAATATACCTTTAAAATTTAAGGTATATTTTAATATACCTTAATATCAAAGGGTAATAGACTTAAGAGCTTTCTTTTTACAATCTTCTGAATTTATTGTTCTTAAGGTCTACAGAGTAAGCTGCTAAATTTAGGGAAAATAAGCTCTAAGAATAAGCAACAATTTATGCTTGCTTATTTTAAAATACATAAAAATACATCATTTCAAAAACAAATTTTGTTTATTTATTTTTAGTCTTTGTTTTTATTTTTGTAGTCATGGAGATCAAGCCAGCTTCATCACAGATATGTAAGTCCCCAGCCTTTTTTATTATTTTTAAAAAATGTTTAAACAGGATCTTGCTAAGTTGCCCAGGCTGGTTTTAAACTTGCTATCCTCCTGCCTTAGCCTCCTGAATAGACTGGATTACAGGCATACACCATCATGCCCAGCACAAATGTTTGGATAATACACATTATAATGCATTAACTCTCACAATTAATTACCAAATTAATCGAATATCCTGAGATAAGCAGCAAAGACAACAAAAAGAGATATTCAAATACACATGTACACATGGTTTCTTCAGTTTTCTTTTAAAGCTACAAAATAAATTTAGGCATATTTGAAAGCTATGAAAAAACATGAATGAAATTGACTTTATGACTTACAATGCTAACATACATTAGGTATACATTTAGATATATAATTTATAGATAATTTTCAATTTTTCTCAATTTATTAGGCATTTTCTGAATTTCCTTTGTTTTACATAAACTTAAGATTTGCTTTTCTTTGTTTTGTGTGTGTGTGTTGTGCTGGGAATCAGACCCAAAGCCTGAAATATACTATAGTACATGCTCCACAAGAAAAGTGTATCTCTGTCCTACTTTACTTTAAATATCTCATACCTAGCATAGTGCCTGTGAATTGTAAGTATGCAGTATATTTAACTAAGTTGCTAATTTAATTTCTCTTTCACTGTAACTAAACTTTGCCAATGGGCACTTTTCCATCTCTACTATCTCCTGAACCTGTACAATATCGCCTGATTAATCAATGGTAATTAATCAATGGTATGAGCAGCTTCCTGAGTTTCATTTATATACGCCTAATTATAGGTGTCTAAATTTGTATAATGATAAAGACATAAATTAAAAGATTCAGGCCAGGGATTTAGCTCTGTGGCACCGTGCCTGCCTTGCAAGCATAAGGTCCTGAGTTTGATCCCTGGTACCAAAAAAAAAAAAAAATTCAACTTGTCTGTTTTTGCTGTATAATTTGATAGCAGATTTTCCAAATTAAGAATTGATATGGAAAGACTTTGAGTACAAGCAGTCAGAACTAGTTCTTTTTCCCAGTTTCTTCTCTTTGCCCAAATTTTTCAACTTAGTTGTCTAAAGGCAAGGACTTAGAATTCTTAGCAATGTTCCCTACATGGTAAAAATGTATATTGACCAGAATGAGAAACTAGAGACATTTATAGCTAAATGGATGCACACTGAGGCCATACTCTTAAGTGAAATAAATAGGACACACATGTGTAAACACCAAATAGTTTCTCTGGTGTGAGAAAATGAAAGGGTAAATAAGGATCAAAAGGTATAATAGTGAAATAGGAAGAAAAGGTCCAAAGGGGAAGGGGAAGTGGGAGGGGGGTGGGGGAAAGGAAAGAAGGGAAAAGAATAAATATGAGAAAAGGAAAAAATGGAAACAAAGTCTTGGTAAATAGGGAGGGGTGGAGGGGTTAAAGGGAGGGCAGGGGAAGGGGAAGAAAATAAGAACCAAGATGCCACCGCCTGGTTCATAAGCGCAAGGTCCAGAGTTCAATCCCCATACCAATAAATAAATAAATAAATAAGAACCACAATATATTATGTAAAGGTACAAATTCCCAATGATGAATGTCATCATATTGTATACCTAAAATGTACCAATAAAATTAATGAATAAAAAAAGTATGTTGACCATACAAAAAATATATATATTAATTAATCTAAGTGTTTTCTCTATCTACCTACTCCCCAAAATCAAATCTACTGAACTGTTGAGCCTGATACCTCTTAAAACTTTTGTATTTGCTGTAGCCTGTCAATCTATTACCAAATTTCTTGCCTAGAACCTAGTCATTTAATACTTTTTTTCCTGACCTCCCCAGTTAAAGAGGTACAGTTGGCAAATTAACCAATACTAACATCAATGACAACTAACATAATAATATCAATAACAGCTACTCTACATTGAGTACTTACGGCATGCCAGGCACCTTTGAACTTTGTAACTTAACTCATTGAACCCTTAGAACAATTCTATTAAGTAGGTATTGGTGTCAACATCTAAGGGATGAGAAAGCTAACACACAAAGATTTTTCATAACTTGCCTAAGGCCACATGTAGCAAATTAGTGGAGATTTTGGAACACAGCTGACCGACTCCAAAGCATATGTTCTTACTGGCCAAACCTTGTTGTTATCATTTTGGTCAATCATTTTTCCTGGCCCTTGGACTTGGTACAATCCTTCCTCCTTTCCTTTTAAGATTCAGCTCCTAATTTAACTCTTCTTCCTTTCTAAACAACTCAAAAGAAAACATGAGCTTAACATTTATCCTTCAGATAAGTATTTGCTATATTATTCATAAATTTATTCTAATGATTATATTGAGTCCTCCATTCTAAAAATACTAAAAGAACGCCAGGCTCGGTAATGATTTTTAAAAAGTCTAAGCAAACAAAGTTTTATGATTTACTTCTCTTTTGTCTTAAATCTACACATATGAGTCTGACTTGCTAACTGTAAACTTCAAACTGTAGGGGCCGGGGATTTAGCTCACAGGCACTACGCCTGCCCTGCAAGCGCAAGGTCCTGAGTTCGATCTCCAGTACTAAAAAAAAAAACAAAAAGATAAGCAAAATTTCAAACTATAAAGTGACAACCCAGAAGAAAGGGACTCCAAGTTCCCTCTAGCTTAGCAGTCAGGCATATCCTGATAACAATTTACAAATGCCTGTGAAATACCTGTAAAACTTTAGCATTTGGTTGAAGAGGTTTAATAATCAGCTGCTTGCCTGCTGTGTAAAGAACTTTTTCTGAATCAGGGCCCCATGCTACTGAATACACTGGTGTTCCTATAGAGAAAAAAGAAAAAGACTAGTAAATTTTCATTATTATGACTTATAGAAAGGGAGACTTAATAGAATCAATAAAGCATTCTGAGGCATCATGTCATTTCTTCCTATTCAAAGGTCCTTTCAAAGTGGAGAACAACCTGATACTGAAATATAGACTAAGTTAATACTGATCATTAAAAGCTGTGAACAATTGGGCTGGGGATTTAGCTCAGTGGTTCCACCGCCTGCCTCGCAAGTGCATGGACCCAAGTTCAATCCCCAGTACCAAAAAAAAAAAAAAAAATCTGTGAACAACTGACATACTGTATTTTTAACTAATTTGGAATAGCTCAGGAAATACGCAGTTTTCAGAAATGCTATAAAATATATAAAATAAAATTCATTTTAAAGATATAGAGTCATATCAGAAAAGTCATGGTTTATCATGTCCCATCATCAATGGCCATGAGTGTTTAAATTAACTCTATGTATGGTGAATAAATTTTCCACAGAAAAATATACACGGTATACTTACCTTATAGATTAAATCCCATTCCTGATCCTGCAACAAGCACCAAACTTCCCCTCACCTGCTCCTTAAGCAATAGTCTAATGGATAGAAATCATACCATCCTAAAGCAATCTATCTCTTACTTATTAATCTTAAAAGGCAAATTAAATGTCACACTAGGGAAATTTTTGTTGTCTATCAAGTGGGGCTTTTGCCTGAAAGCTAGGCTTAAAAGAGCTCACATGTCCTATAATCAGGATAAAGCTAACTCCAAATGAAATTTCAAGTTTAATTTATCTACCATACTATAAACTGCATTAAATTTGATACAGTTTTTAACTTCTGGGAGGAATTTAGAGATGTTAATTTTAACTCAATTATATTTAAGGATATTTCTTTGCATTTTTATTAGTATTTTTTGCAATACACAGTAAATACATTCATTTTATGTATTTAATTTCTATTTTATTTGTACCATTTGCTGTTCATGTAGTTTACAATCATCTTAGGAGATGGTTACATGTACATACTACAGCATGTTTCTTTCTTTTTTTCAATCCCCTTTCCCCTCCGTCCCCCTCCAGAAACACTATCCCATTTTTCATTCTTGTTGATATTATTTGTCTTACCTCACATTATGGTATATGTTTATATTAATTGGGGTGATTAGTTTTCTGTACATGGCCTATCTTTATTTCTCTTACTTCCCCTTCCCCTCCTCCTCACCTCTCGCCCTTGTTCCCTTACCATAAAACACTGAATACATTCATTGTGAGGAAATTGGTACACATACTGCATCTTGATATTTTACTTCCCCTTCCCCTCTTCCCAATCCCCAGACTTCCTTCCCATCCTTTCAAAGAACCAACTCTGATTCATTTATCATTTGTATTTTTTTACTCTCAATTTCATGAATTTCAACTCTGATTTTATAATTTCATTCTATTAGATTCAGATTTGTATTGCTCTTGTCTTTCTATGTCCATCCTCAAAAAACACTTCTTCTTCCCTACTTGGTAAGTACAATCTCAGGAAATACTCTCTGGGAGTAGCCAGGAGCTGATCTAAGCTTTAAAAGTAAAAACTCCAAATGAAGTATTCAATTTCAATAAACTCCCCAGAAATGTAAGTCAAAATTTCAGATATTTCAAATGTGGTACTTAGCGAGGATTGGAAAAGAAAAGGGAAGGGAGAGACTTACAATGATAGAATTGTGGGTGCCTTCTTTATTTCTATTTTTATAGTTATAATTTTTGTGCAAAAAAGAACACTAATATATTTTAACTTACAGGGTATGAAATCCTCATGAATATACTCAGTAAAACTATACTCTCCTGAAGTATATACTGAACTATGACAAACATCTACCCCCAAGGAAATAATTCAGTAGATACAACTCCCATTGAGTTATACAGGATGTGACTTTAGGCCTTTAGTTGTGGTAAAAGGTACTGTTAGGGGATGAGGAACTAAAGGATGCTTTCATCTTCCTTATTTTGTGGCCCCTTAAGTCAGCTGTGTCACCATTTCCTTGTTTATAAATCTTTCCTCAGAATACTTATTTACTCTGTTGAGACATGGAGATAATTTACTTCCTATTTATGTAATAATTTTAAACAATAGTGTTAGACAGGTATAATTTATAGTTTTAAAAAAACATATAGAGAAAAGTTAATTCCTTGGTTATAACATGGGTTTTTAACCACATTCCAGTACAGTCAAAATAAAACCAATGGAAACAAATATGGAGTTGTTTATAATCTGAAATAAGATCAATAGCTAAGCCTCAACAATTCAATTCTTCTAACCACTAAAAATCCAAGATGGAAATAACATAAAGAACAAGTTTTTATTATGCTCATTCCATACATTTAAGTAAAATATCGTGTGAAACTACCATATATGTGAGTGTTTTCTTTTGAAAAAGAGATGAAAGACATAGCTATGTAACTTCCAATTTGGGTGGTTCTGGTGGAAGATATTATTCAAAGTGGATGAAAGAAAATACTGATTTCTAGTATAATGAAATTCATCCCAGTAGAATTTGGGACAAATCTATAACATTTAAAATGTTGTTAAAAACATACTTATTAAAGCACTGAATTATCCCCAGTGCTGTACTTCAGTTCCCAAAGTTGGTATGGAAATAATAAATTTAGGCTCCAGATTGAATTACTTTAAAACAAAGAGTTCAGAAAATTATGTAACAAGATGTTATTGTCATTAACAAAAATGGACAAAACCCAAAATATAATTTAGATTAATTAAATAATGTCTTGCTTTTTATATTGGGAATTTTATTTATGCTCCATTTCACTTAAGAAACTCAAAAAGATCTTGTTTTTCTGACTTTGCACACTAAAGTCATGTGACCTTTTTGACATTTTTTAAGAAACCACATGCACCTGGGGTTGTGTTAAATGTCAGACCTTTATCTTTCTGTAAAACAAATTATCTAAATTCTTTCAACCTGTTGAAGGCATTTTAAACCACAGAAGAGGAGACAGAAATGTATTTCAAATGTTTTAAGGAAGTACCTGGTCAAACAGACCATGTTTTTACATTCACACTATATAAAAGTATCCCCTAAAAGTGTTGTTTTTAAGAATGTGTTTAAATCAAACTTTGCACTATTATAATGAACCATTAGCTATCTTTGCCTGGAACGTAATATAGCTCTATACTGAACAAATATAAGTACTTAGAAGTCTAGCACTAAATAAGCACTGTTAACCACTACTACTAAAAAAGACTTTGTAATACAATAAGTAATCATTAGCTGAGTGTTGTTCATGACAGCAGGCATTCAGTTTTTTTACCAAATCATTAAAAATCAAAAACTAAGGATTATTTCCCTTTCAATCTATCTGTAAAAGACAGTACAGTATATATAACAGATAATTCAAGTTGATTTATTCCAAAACAGCTACTGTAGGGTTATGTAAGACACTGGGTCAGAACAAGAAAAAACTTAAATAGAGGCATTTGTTTCTTTAGTTTCTACACTCAGCCACCTCTCCTTCGGGGGTCTCCACTTCTCCCACAGAGTCACTTATCTGACTCCCAAGTTAATATTTTACCTTCTATCCTTTTTTTTTTTTTTTTTTCCGGTACCAGAGATCGAACTCAGGCCTTGCGCTTGCGCAGCAGGCGGTGAAACCACTGAGCTAAATCCCCGGCCCCCTATCCTTTATTTTTGAGCTATCACACATTTCCACTTTCCTCAAAGACATTTCCGTACCAGAACTTCAAATGCTACATATTCAAAACCATTATGCCTCAATAAATATTCCCTAGTTTATTCTCTCTCAACTTTTCATCCATCTCTTTTAGCTCCCAAGGAACTTCCTTCACTTACATTGTCACTGCATCCCCTCAAGCATTAATCAGCAGGACCACAGGGCCTTTCAGAAACATCCTTACTAGCTACCTCCATTTAATCTCTACCTTTCCCTAATTTATCCCAGATGTTATTACCAAGTTAAGCTTCTTAAAAGACAGTCCTAAGAATATTATCTCTTATTCTCCTATTGAATTGTTTTGTTTTGTACACTTACATAATAAACTCCAAACCCCTTCATTTAGCATCCAGGCTATCAGTGTCTTGCCTCTTCTGGGAGTACAGTACGCAGCCTGCACGCCCAGCCCAAAGGGTCTGGCCCACTTCTATGACTTCTGTATCTCCTGCTCTTCTGCCTCTATGCTTCTCATCATCACACTTTCTCCATAGCTCTACTCCAATGCCAACAAGCTCATTTCCTTACCTAATTTCTTCATCCTTCAAAGCTCAGTAAAGAGATGCTTCGATATTTGCCAGAAAAAATTTCCAGGACCTTCTCTGCCTAAAAAGTATTGATACCTGCCTTCCTATTCTCCAAGAGCATTTTGTAGAAGTGAGCACATTCTGCCTTATAGTTCTTTAGATTTCCAGTTTATTTTCATTAAATTTGTTATAGACAGGTTTTGTTTTGTTCCACTCCCATGTCCTTAAATGTCTATAGTACTTTATTCCAATTTGAATTCATAATTAAAATATACGATGTAACACAAGATAGACCTTAACTGTAATTATTCCTAACCTATACCTTATTTTTCTCTAATAAGAAATAATTCCCCAGTACCAGTAAGAATCATTTTTAAACTAAGTCAAATTCTCCCCAAAACAGTTCGAGACTTATATCTTCTGTATTAGAGGAGAAGATTATGACTATGACTTTTTCTAGATGAACACCTGGCTCCAATAGTCAAGAAATAAATTCAGAAAATAATTTCTATTCATTAAGAAATGAAATTAACACAAAAAAGAAATTAACAAAAACATGGAGATAAAAATCACAAGGATGGTTCAACACTGTTTATAGAATTCCAAATTTTACAATAATTTAAGTTTATGGTGTTTTGTATTTTTGTCTTAAAATTTAAAGTTTCTCTCTTCAAAGTAGGCAGAAGTCCCCCATTCCCACTTATCTTATCTTGCCTTCTCACTTTAGTCCGCATCATCTGGTTGTCAGTTGTTCAGATTTACAATCATCCTCAAAATCTGCAGTCTCTAACACTGACATTATAAATGATCACAGACTTTTCCCTCTGAAGTAGTGTCATTACAACAATTTAATTCCTCTAATGATTTTCCCAGAGATGAAAAGGAAAAGTCTGCCTTATTAGAAAATTATAAATAGCACCAATGATTAAAAACTCAAAATTTAAATGCATAGTTCCACAATATTAATTCAGAAAAATAATCAGATTACTCTGTTGAAATACCAACAGGTTAACTACAATAGAAAAGTTTATTGAATTTAATTTCCTTATTAATCTCATAATTAATATAACCCTTGAGTGAAAACACTAAAATGGGCAAAAATGATTAACTCTTTCAAAGCTATTTGATTCTAAGAAAATTATAGCTATTTGGGATATTGATAGATAATATCAATACATGACATAGTGAATACATAATAAAATCACTTGGGTTAATTTTTGTTGTTGTTGTTGTTCTGAAATAGGGTTTTCACCATGTTATCTACACTGGTCTTGAACTCTTGGACTCAAGCAATATACCTACTTCAGATCATAAGTAGCTAGGATTACAGGCATGGGCCATCTTGCTAAGAAACTCATTTTTTTTTAAATGAGCAAAAGACTTGAATAGATATTCCCTCAAAGAAGACATATAAATGACTAATCAGAAAATGAAAATAAAATAAAGAAGAATATGAAAATGAAAAGATGTTTAATCTTTTTTTCTTTGGTAGTACCAGGAATCAAACTGAAATCCCTGGCCCTATGATGTTTAATCTTATTAGCCATCAGGGAAATGCAAATCAAAACCACACTGAGGTACCATTTCACACCCACTCTAGAAAGATTACAATTAAAAGACAAGGGCTAGGAGTATAGCTCAGTAACAGACCACATGGTTAGCACTTGCAGGGCTCTGGGTTCGATCCCCAGCACCATACACAAAAATGCACACATACATACACACAACAGACAATAACAAGCATTGGCTAAGATGTGGAAAACTGAAATCTTTATATACTGCTGATAGTGAAACTGGTACCTTCACTTTAGAAAACCATTTGAGGAAGATTTTTTACATGATGCAAAGAAACTATCTGGCTCATATGCAAGCAGAAAAAAGCAGAGGATACCATTGTAATATGCAACCACTTGTTTATAAATATACATATTTAAATATGTATAAATAAATGTCTATAAATATGTATAATTTAAATATGTATAAATAAATTTTTTGCTACACAAGAAAATGGTAACACTAGTTGCCTATAGCTAGGAATGTAAGCTGGATAGCTAAAATGGGGGTAAAATGAGAGACAAGGGTAGTCTTTTACAATAAAAAATGACATAACGTAACATTACACCCTGTTTATGCTTTAAATTCTTATCCATGTGAATATATTACCCATTCAACATTAAAACAAAAATCAAGTAAAAAAGATTTAAGTGCTGCCTATAAGGCATATACTAATCAAATTTTATGGTTACTATTACTGAAACAGTTGCAAATTCAATTCCCTTCAGAGACTGATGTGCTATATCCTGTAACAAATAAGTGAAGTGGGTAGAGTGTAATAAAAATATGCAAAGGAGTTTTAAAAATCCAACTAAAAATGAAGCAACACTACTAAACCTTGAGTGACTACATTTACGCTAGAAAACAAACCCAATGTTGCCTATCTTCCAATTTTTCAAAAGGAAATCTAAATCTGTATGTCAAATGTCCTGGTTTTAAAATTGGGCCAACATCATACCCGGTGGGACAGATTCAGCCTGTTTGTAATTTCTGATATTACAGGAAGTCCCTAATTTATAAACGTGTTTCCAACCTGCCCTTGCAAGTCTGGGAACTCTGAAGCACTTTGCCCGTAAGAGTAAAACAAACAACAGTTTGTTTTTCAGATCCATTATATGTACAGGTAAACTATAGTACTGATTATGATTAACAATGCTTATAATAAACAATTTATTCCTGATTTCCTCTTTAGACTTTGGAAAGTCTGAAATGGTGGATCCAACAGTAATAAATGGGAAAAAGGTGACTGACAATAATTTAATAAAACAGAAGCCCTGGGGGAGGGGGATCCTTTCAATTCATCAAAGAATAAAAATATAAACATGGAAAAAAATCACCAGGATGATTTCAATACTGTTTATGTAATTTCAAGTTTAACAATAATTTGAGTTTACATAGTTTTATTTTGTATCAAAAGTTGTACTTTCTTTCTTCAGAGAAGGCAGGAGTCACCCACTCCACCTACCTTGCCTTCTGACTTGAGTGTTTTTAGCATCTTGCTTTCAGTAGTTCAGATGTAAAACCATCCTCAAAACTTATCAAAGTTTACAAATTATCAGAGACTGAGGCTGGGTGTGTAGGTCAGTGGTGAATTATCTGCCTACCATAATAGTCAGAGCCCTGAGTTCAATCCCCATCACTGCAAAAATAGTAATAATAAGAACAATAATCAGAGACATTTTCTGATTATGAAGGAGAAGGACCTCAGGAAAGAATTCAGGTCTTCTATAGTGTATAGTGAAATAAACTTTCAGAATGTCTCTGAAAATTTGTCACTTGCAGGCAACAAAAGTGATAAAGAAAGGGGAAAAAAATGTCAAGAGTCAATATCACCAAAATTTCCTGTAGTCTTTCTAAGGTTTGGTGATCTCTAGAAGAATACTGTCAAATGCTCATAAATCATTCAGCAGAAAGTAAGACTGTCATAATTCACATAATTAACTTTAATAGAAAAGTCTACAGGAACTGAGATTATAGCTCAGTGGCAGAGCACTTATCTAGCATGCACAGGGCCCAGGGTTCAATCCTCAATTTAAAAAAAAATCTATAGAGCCAAAAGCAAATTCCCATGCTCACTAAAAGATTAAAGATTTACTTTCCTGATTGATTGATTGAGACAGGGTTTTGCTATGTAGTTCAGGCTGAGCTTGAACTTGTTATGTAGCCCAGGCTCAGGGCCAGGGATTTAGCTCAGTGGTTCCAGCGCCTGCCTTGCAAGCTCAAGGTCCCGAGTTCGATCCCCAATACCAAAAAAAAAACAAAAAAAACCACCAAAGATGTAGCCCAGGTTGGCCTGGAATTCACAGTAATTATCCTGCTTCAGCTCCTAAGTGGTGAGATTACAGAGCTCACCACCACACCTGGCAAGATTTATTTTCTAAAGGTACATTTTATCATTTTATTGCTAAAGTAATAATAAATTGACTTTTAAAACTTATGCAACTATGACTCCCTCTATGAACAATAAATTTTCTACTCATAAATATTCTACCTGGAGATTATCTGTAGCAAAGATTTAATATCTGAAGAAAAATACTACTAGAACTTTTGGATACTTTTGTTAACATTTGTTTAATGCACAGCTAAAGGAACGTGATTTTAACATTATTCTAAGAGTAAACATTATTTTTAAAATGAAATCTGCAAATATTTGGATGTCAGTTATTGATACTTCATATTGTAACTTTATCATATAATTCTGAAGAATAATCTACAAATGATTTGGTCTCTGCAAATCAGCTCATGTATGCACAGGTCAACATTTAAACATGCTCAGGTCCTAGGTAAAACATAATTAGAAAAAGAATCAGCTCTCTAGAAAACAAGCATACTTAATATAAATCTCAACAGGAATGACCAATGAACTGACTTATTGCCGCTCCTTTCCATTAACATGGAACACTGAGATGCTCCTTTAAATAGCGAGGTTTACCAAATTCGAGATCATTAGTGTGTCTATTCCCCTCCATTAGGATAGAAATTAAATGCACAACATAATGTAGTAGGGGTGCTAATATTATAAAGTTATTGAAATTTTTTAAATAAGGAAATCCTTTTAATGACTTCCCTTATGATTTACTTGACACCCAATCCTAATCTGTATAGGATATGCACCAAATGCTTCAAAATTATTTTAGAACAGTCTGTAATTACCTTTTTATAGAGTAACAAACATGGGAAGTCCTTGAGTATTTCTTATATTCCTTGGCTTCAATAACATAAATACCATATAGTATTGCAGGTAAGAAGAAAAAGTATAATTAGAAATAAGAGATTTCAGGTTTTAAACATGACGAAAGTCAGTCTCACACTATATTAGACTGCTTCTTAAGGAAAATGTTAAGGCATTTTTATATTATACAATTTTCAAAAATAAAATTAGCAACTATTAACAGTTTCAATTCTAAAACATACCTTGCTGAGCTAAAGTTGATCTAAGCATCCCAGTCTTTGACCAAATTTTTATTTGTCCATCTTCTCCAACTGTATTGAGAAAAATAATTATTTTTATCTATAGGAAATAAATTTTAGCATTAAATTTGCATATAAAATCAAGAGTATATTAGTGGATGTTTAAAGTTCAAATAAATTTAAATGACAGTGCTTTATAACTGTAAAATATAATGGAAATTACTTTGAAACAATTTTTATCAAGGTAGCCTAACTTCCCTAACTAAAATTTTATTTTTTCCTTCAATTTTAGCAGATTAATGAATGATACTCAAATACTGCTTCCATTGTCATTGTAATTTCCCTTTTAGAATTCTAAGAAAAGTATTTTCTATGTAGGAAGAACTGCTGAAACTAAATTCCAATGAGTTGGGGATGGAATGAAGTGAAATAATGAACTACTCTTTAGAATAGCTTTACTGAAAAAAGAAGAAAGAGGAAGTTGTAGCTAGAGTTGCTTAAGAGAGGGACTTCTATTCATTTGTTTGTTTGTTTATTTATTTACTTATTTTGGTACTGGAGATCAAACTTGGGACCTTCCGCTTGCAAGGCAGGCGGCCGAACCACTGAGCTAAATCCCTGGCCCCTTCTATTTTATTTTAATTAATTAATTTATTTTTGTGTGTGTGGTGCTAAGGATGGAACCCAGGGGTTAATGCATGCTAGGTGAGCTCTCCACCACTGCCCAGCCTGGGATTTACATTTCCTTCTTCTTAATTTTTAAAATGAGTGACATCTGAACATATTTATATGCTGAAAAAGAAGTCACTGAACAAAAGAAGTTTTTAACAATTCAGGTAAGAGATGAACAATTCACTGAGAAAAGTCCTCCTACTAATGGCCCAAGAGATAGGTGTAGTAGTTTTAAAACATAATCACAAGTTCTTTGTTATTCTCCCTTTAAGGGGTGCCAATTTTTCTCTCCTCCAGTATGGAGTATACTTAGTGACTTGCTTCTAATGAACACAATGTCATGGAAATGATGGAGCATGATTTCTGACGGTGAGTTACAAAAGATATTGTGGTTTCCATCTCACTGTTTTTTCGATTACTGGGAGAAGCCAGCTGTCGTGTTGTAAAAATACTCAAGCAGCACTACAGAGATATCAATTTGGTGAGGAATTAGGGTCTCCTGCCAAAGCTGGAGAAGAACTAAGGACTCTTGCCAACCAGCATGTGAATAACCCATCTGGGAAGTGGATCCTCCAGCCTCAGTCAAGCTTTCTTAAGACTGCAGCCCTGTGTAACACCTAGGAGATGCTGAGCCAGAAAGAATCATCCATCTAAAATGCTCTCTGACCCACAGAAACTGTCAGAGTCCACATGTTAACTCATTAACGGCTGGGATGATTTGCTATGCTGCAATAGATAACTGATACAGTAAGTGAAGATGAGAATTCTTGGAGGACAGGGATGAGAGAAAGAGAAGGGAAATAAAAGTCAGTTAAATGAGAGTGCTTTAATTTTGGAATTTTGAAGAATTACAATTTATTTACTCCACACTTGAACATTCTAAAATTCTGTTTGACAGAACAGTCTCCAAAAGTCATAAAAAACTAACAATAGACATCTTTAATTATAATACTTATATAGCAGTATAGATTAATACTGTGCCAATTATTTGCTATTAGACAGTGAAAGATTATTGCTGCATGAAAATATTCTGTTCCTTTGGAGACTTTCCTTTCAAAGTTCACTTAAACTGTTATATTCAAAGAAGAGGTGTAGTTCAGTGATAGAACATTTGCCTAGCCTACACAAGACCCTGGGTTCAATCCCTAGCACTGCAAAAAAATGTTAAAAAATACAAATGTCATCTTACAGATAACTTACCTGTAACTAATGCTGTTCCTTCATAATTCCATCTTCCTGCAAGTACTGCTCCACAGTGAGCTTCTACACTTTTTTCCACTCTTCCTAACTTAGAAATTAGGTGAAATTTACCTAGAAGAATTACATTTGATAAGTCTATTTTATTTAATACATATCTATTGAGCACCTACTACTAGTTGCCAGTAATAGTACCATGCCACGCAGTAGAGGCATTAGGGCAAACAATATTAATTCTTAATTTCAAGGAACACAAATCTAAAGGAAAACAGATATGAAAACAAAATTATCTTGAATATGGCCAAAGGGGACCAACAGCAATGTCAAGAAAGCCTTCTGTATATGTAAAATTTTGCATTCTTGGTGTTCTTTTTAGGTTATGGAAAAGCTGGGAAAAGTATAAAGTAAAGGAAGCAAATACTTAAATGACTCATCCCAGGTTTTAAAATACTTGCCTTATATGATTTTTACACAGCCACTAGATAGACAAAAAGTAGGCCATTTAGTTGCTGTCCTCCAAAAGTATGTACATATATATGCAAAAAATAAAAAAACACAAATTAAAGGACATAAATGAAAATATATAAGATGCCAAGAAAATATCAACATGATTTTTGAATTATCACTAAATCTAGTAATATATAGCTAGTAATAAAATAATAAAGTACTATATAGTGAAACTAGAAACTTTTCTCCAAATTAAAAATATATGTGTATGTTTTGCAATAAAAGAATAATGTAGCTAACTAATCCAATTTTTAGCTGAGAATTTATTTTATTTAAATTCACTTCTAAATTATGACTTTTCAAGATTCTTGGCTTCCTATATCACTTATTCCTTGCACAGTTGATTTGTTCCCTTCACATCTTATATATTTTTGTTGACGTCCTTTAATGTATTTTACTTTTTGCCTATATATTCATTAACAATACATGTAATGGCCAGGGATTTAGCTCAGTGGTTCCGGCGCCTGCCTCACAAGCACAAGGTCCAGAGTTTGATCCCCGTACGAAACAAAAAAACAAAAAAAATCAACACATGTAATGGAGTTGGGCGCGCGTATTATAGCTCAGTGGTTGAGTCCTTGCCTAGCATGCTCGATGTCCTGGGTTCATCTCCAGTACCAAAACAAAAAAATATACATATATATCTCCACTTGAGTAATATTGCCCTTCTTCTAAATAGCCAGGTATAAGTAACTTGAGGTCTCTTTTCCTAGTTTTCATCATAAAGTACTTCAGTCTTAGAAACAATGGACATTTTCCAAGCTGCTACCTTCCCTTGCTGATGGTTGGTGGCTGAGGGAATTTGTCCCAGGACCAGTCCTTTCTTTCTGACTAGCATCTGTTATGGCTTAATCCCTTCATTCTAGAAATCTGTCTCAAATTTTTTAATTTAACACTGTTACAGCATTTTTATTAAGCTATGATTCCTTTCAGGACAGGGTCATGTCTTACTCATTTTTATTTGCAACAGTAATATAATCAGCATTTGTTAAATTTAACTGATTCAGTATTCTTTAACAGTCTTTTCTTTCTCATTAATTTTGAAGGCTTTCTTTTCTCATCATTCATTTTCTTGGCCCTCAATCATAAGTTACCCTTGTCTTTCATCTAGTCACCCAGTAGCACCATCTACTTTTCCTCATATCTTCCATTTAACTTAATATTTACTGCTGTGAAATTTTTCTAATGTAACAAGATTACATTAGAAATCAACATGCTATTACTTTCTTTATAAAACATGATATACTTTTTAATACATTGCCTTACAAAGAAAATACAAGGGAAAAAAAATCCTCAAAAGAGGAAAATATAGATAAAGACGATATGTAGTAGTTGGGTATAGTGTAGTTAGCCTGTAATTCCAGCACTCATGCTGCCTCAAAAAAAATTTTAAAAATTGTAGAGAATAACCCAAATAGTTAAATGGATAACTGTGGGTTTTTACATATTTGATTTATATAACTTTATATTTATGCTGAATTCTGGATTTGCTGTTTAAGCGGTTTGTAACAATCAGGCACAATACAAATGCCAAATCTATGCAAAAAGATGACCTCACTTCTTCCAAGATGTTTTCTGTGAGGTATGAGAAGCCAGAGTAATATCAGCACTTGTCAAAAAATCAGCAGTTAAGTATTTTAGGATAAGAAATATCAGTGATTTAAATATAAACATTTCTAAAAATTAGAAATAGGTTCAGAGACAATTTTTGGACTATATCTGGTCAAGTGTTATTTCGTTACTCTCTCTGATGGATTCATTTATTAACTGCAACAGTATTTCATTATTTGTATATGCTAGCATTAATGAAACAGACCTGAATAAAGTAAATAAAGGCCAAAGGGGTTAACTATATGTCTTTGTTTTGGTTTTCTTTTTCTTTCTTTCTTTCTTTTGTTTTTTATTTTTTGAGACAGGGTCTCACTGTTCAGGCAGTCTTGAACTCACTGCGTAGCCCCGGTTGGTCTCAAACTCTCACTGATCTTTCTGCCCTATCCTCCTGAACGCTGGTATAATAAGCATGTACCACCATAGGGTCCTTCTGTGACTTTTTTTAAATTGCAGAAAAATGCTAGGGATGGAGCTCTGTGATAAAACATTGGTGTGAAGGCTTGGGCTTAATCTCCAGAAGAAAGAAAGAAAAAAGAAATTGCAAGACTAAAACTAGAGATTAATTTATTTCTAATTACTTGCTAGGGGTTGGGATCGGGAAAAGAATTTAATGGGGAGGACTCATGATTCATTTATTAAATAAATAATGAGGATTTGGATTAAAGGGATAGATATTTAAACACTAAGAAATAAAATTACTCTCTTATTACTAAATAAAAGTTAAATTAATCCTAACTTTTCAGAGTAATCCAAATTAATTATAAATAGAGAAAGTATATGAAAAACATTTTTAAAGAGTACAAATGCCTTAAGCCCATGAAAACAAGAAAGCTTGGAATAGGGTATCGGGAAAAAGAGCACACAGGCATTTTTGCAGACTGTTCAATAGCAGAGATGTTTTGGCAGATGGTAGTAAGAAGCCACAAAGAGATTCTAATGGGTAACTTCTAATACTAAAAAAAAACCCCTACAAATTCTTTTTAAAGTGGAATTTTAAGTGGATATATTAACTGAAAAGAGAATATGGGAAATATTTTGATATCTAATACAATGTAAAAAAATCAATTTTCCCTAATATGATTTTAAAAGTGTTTAATGGCTTTACAAAAGATTTTACACCTCCCTCCAAAAAGTTTTATACCAGAATTCCTTTACCTAGCAGCCTCTCTAAATACATATTAAATAATTCAATTATTTTAAAAATGTAAATCTTTCACACATTTTTAAAGAAACATCTCTAAAATGTGGGATACAGCGGCATGCATTATTTAAAAATAGAAAATAACCCAGAGGAGAAAATTATTGGTGAGACAAAATACTTGGCAAAAGTCTGCTTATGCACTTTTGGACCTGCCCCAAATCTCAGGATTTTTTAAAAAATTGGTGTTATAAATACAGAAGAGGAAGGGGGTCAGAAAAGGGGAACACTGAAAGAGTGATGAACAAATTTAAAAATAAAACTTCCTCTTCTGCTAGGGATGGGGGAGAAAAGCCAAGAGGAAAAAGTGAGAGGCAACTAAAGAACCTCTTGAGCAACGAGTTAAAGGAACTTTTTAAGTGTTAGGTTAACAGCATGCAAAATGAACATGTTTTAGAGATTAGAGTAAAACAATATGCTTACAATTAACAAAACTGTCCTGAACATTTAAAAATTTGTTAAAAGAGTAGATCTTGTTTGTATTATTTACAATAAATTTTTAAAAAACAAATTGGGTTAAAAAAAGAATATTACACAGGGGCATGTGGTGTCGTACACATGTAATTCCACTACTCTGTGATGGCAAGGAAAGACGATCACAAATTCAAGCCCAGCCTGGGATATTCAGCAACTTAGGCACTGTCTCAAAATAAAAAAGGCTGGGAGAGCAGCTCAGTGTGAAGGCCCTAGGTTCAATCCCCAATGCCACTAAAAAGAAAACAAAAAAATAGAATGACTTCAGATATTTACCCGGCAGGAGACCTACTGACAACATGCCAGTGGCATCTACCTTCTTCCCTGAACACTTCTTTTTCATTCCTTGATACTGTTTTCTGTCTCACCCTTCTACTTCGTTTCTTTGATATCATTTTTTCACCGTCTTCCACAAGATCACATCTATTCCTCTCTCTAGCCTGGGAGAAAATGCTCTATATTGGTTCTCTCTTCTCCCACATCTAGTTGTGGCATACTTTCTTATTTTAATTTAAATAGTAAGTATAAAAATAAAATCAAATGTTATAGTTTCTCAAGAGTCATATTTTTTCATACTAGCTTGCATTTTTGTCTTTTAAATTATTTTTTTTCCTATAGACATTTTCCCTTCATGACAGTCTTTTATCTAAAGCCAATGAGAAATAGAGATATAAGGAATTATTAATTAATTGTGATTAAGTAATCTGAATAATTCAGGGGAAAACGCAGACCACAGCAATTATCAAAACTAATTATTTTTACAGTTCAAATTCACCAAATAAAAGTCAATGCTCATCTACTATTGAATTTCAAAGAAAAATATGGTAATGTATATGTAACAAAAAAGGTGAAATGAGGGCCGAGGATTTAGCTCAGTGGTTTCGCCGCCTGCTGCTCAAGCGCAAGGACCCGAGTTCTATCCCCGGTACCAAAAAAAAAAAAAAGGTGAAATGAGAAAATATGCCTAAAGAAACACAGGAAGGACAAACCAGAACAAAAGAGCTTAGTCACCTATAGGAAAAAAATAAAAACAGAATGTATAATTTTGGGTGGATGAGGTTAGTTACATTACTCTGCAAATTTGTTATATATTGTAGTTTTTACTTTGTGGAGCCATTCCCGTTAATGTTTGACATATCTAAAACATAAATCTATAAGGATAGGAGAAAGCCTATTCAAGAGACAGAATAAGGGTCTGAGGCATCTTAAAGACCTACCCCTAGAGCCAGGTAAACCAAAAGACTATTTGTTCATAAATATGTCAAGTTTCTGTTACTTACAATGAAGGTACCCATAATCGGTGTACCCTTCTTGGAGTAGGCAAAGTATAATACAGATAAAAATAGTCTAAGTATTTCTAAGAAACCAAAATAAAAACATTTCTTCAGAAATTCTATTCACCAGTAGGAAAACTATGGTCAAATTATATAAATCTTTAACTCTGTAACTGGAAATCAATATGTGCTAGAAAATAAAGGATATATTTAATACATAGCTGACTAAATGAACATGTATATCCATATCTTTTTCAATGTGTTTGTTATTAAGTCAAATTTGAAGAAATTAGAAACCAAAATTGTGACGACAGCTAAACTCCTAAGAGCACAGTGAAAGTAAAACCAAAGGCCTAGATTCAATCCTACTATATCACAGTTTAATCCACTTCTTCCATGACAATAGTAGTTTGATGGCCCAAATACAAACCAAATGACTACACCAGAAATAAATAAAATGTGTGGATGCAAGCATGTAGATCTGCAAATATCAGTTTTATAAAACAAAAGCATAATACCAATATATTATGTCTTTTTAAATACAAAGATAAGTACTATAACATTAACTTACCATCTGAACTTGTGAGAACAAAGCTTTCTGCTTGAGTCTGTTTCTTTATGCCTAAACTTTTTGGAAACCAGTGAAGATCTATTGGGTAAATATCATCAGGTAGCTTTACTATTTGACTTGTTTCACTGGTTAACAAGTTCCACTTCACTATCTGGTGATCATCACTACATGAATACAGTTCTTCAGCAGTAGTCCAGCCCACACAGCTTACCAATTCTTGATGTGACGCCATATTAAGGAGCCATAAAACACACTCAAAACATTAATAAAATAATTCACAGATGTAGATTATAGAAAGTAAAATAAATAAATGTTTTCAAGCTTCTAAATGTACTTTGTATTTTATGATTTTGATGTTTTTTCCATATAAAGGAAATTAAGCATCTATGAAAACTGTTATGCAAATAGAAAGCAAGGAAAAAAGTCAGATGCCAATGAGGGGGAAAAAGATTTAATGGCATAAAATTTTTTTTTTGGTACCACGGATCAAACTCAGGACCTTGTACTTGTGAGGTAGGCGGCAGCACCACTGAGCTAAATCCCTGGCTAACGACATAAAAATTTAAAACTTGTGTTACAAAATATTTCTTAAACAGCCAAAAGATACAGAAATGAAACCCAATAGATCAAAGGGTAGGAAACCATCTAAAGTGTTAGGAAATACATAGGAAGAAAACAGAACTACACTAGATCTTTATCATTTATTAGGAAGAATGTATTATTTTGGCAAGTTTTAAAAAAATGAATTATTAAAAGATGACTGAAAACTAAGCAAAATATCTCATTAAGTCACACATTATAGCAATTCACCTAGGGGGGGAAATTATGGCTTAATAGGTGAAACTAAATCTTACCATACTTTCCCCCTATTTTTCACTTTATTTATTTTTAATTGACAATATCAAACTTTTAAACATTAAATTAAAAAAATAATTCTACAATGTATTGTATCTATCAGATACATAGTCAGAAATAAATTATGATTGCTAAAATCCTTTATTTAACTCATTTTGTCAGTCCCTGAATTATCAGAAGAATTTCGATGTAAGCTGAGATGCTAAAGTAGCCCTCATATTCTCCATCAGGACAAGCTGCTTACTGAAGCAGAACTATATACCTATAAAAGGTTTTGTCATTTACATAGAATGTTTTTTCTAATTTATACTGGAATTTTTAAATTGCCCTGTCATTCCTAGTTGGGTTGTTTCCCCTCTTATTATTATGTGATTCTTTTCCTTCATTCTCTTTCTCAGTGCTTTTATTGGTTTATCTGAGCAATCAAATTTTTTCCAAGAAAACAGATAATGTGCCACAATTATTTTGAGATGTGCTAAGATTTATTACTTCAAAATATAATAGATTAAGCAAAAATAAAAAAAATTATAGAAAGCCCTTAAGAGTCCTCATAAATGGGTACAGTGGTACTGAAACACTCCTAATCAAAATACAATGTTAACAAAAGGACCCCCAGACCACTGCTGAAAAATTGCTCCAATATAATTGCTGTGCTCTTAACAAGGTTTCTAAAACCTAGAAAGGAAAAAGGAAGAAAATGCACATCCATATCTCAAATCAAAAGATATTAAATCTTTTATGAACCTTTTATAAATCACCAAAAGTACATCAGCTGTTCAAGAAGTTATAAATTGCCATAAGTATATTAAATGTGCAAGAAGTTATCATCAAATAGGTCATCTAAAATTATGGGAGAAATTAGAAGACTGCCAGATTAAGAAAGTCTAAAAGGGGTTATTCTTGAGCTTTAAAAGGTAAAAGCAAATAGTAGACATCTATAAAAATGTGTATGGCTGGGTATGGTGGCGCATCCCTGTAATTCCAGCACTTGGGAGGCTGAGGTAGGAGGACCCCTGTGAGTTCAAGGCAGCTTGAACTTCATAGTGAAAACTTGTCTCGAAAAATAAATAAATAAAAATAAATAAATAAAATAGTATATGATATAAATTCCTGAGAACACACATTGAAAAGGAGATAAACTAAGAAAAATAATATAAATGAAAACATAAAAATCTCAAAAGGTTTGATCAAATGTTTAAATCAGCACTTTCTATTTGTGATAAAGGACCACATTTTCTTTATTTTGAATCCACTGCAGATTAACATTTTACAAAATTAAAATGTGAGCTTGGAAATACCATTCAGTGGTAGAGTGTATGCTTAACATGTTTGAGGCCCTGGGTTCAATCCTCAGCACTATAAAATAATAATTTTTAAAAATTAAAATGAATTATCTTATGTCTGGATGTTGTAATGAAGATAAATTGCTACAAAACTTCTTTACCTCTCACTTTCAATTTCTTTATCCCTTCACAGACTTGCAATAAAATCTACAAAAAATATTTTGAGAACTGATCTAAATAAGAATGAGGATAGAGCCAATCACATCTTGATGCATTACTGAAGACTCTTGCTGCCAAAATAGAGGATCATGTATTTGAGAAAAAATTAACAATTGCCACCTTCCTTTGTAAAATAATAGAGATCTCACTGCTCAGATTTCCCTAGCTTATCCTTTACAAAGAGTACAAAAATTCAATGAACATTTATGAGTTAACACTGACAAATTACATAGTTTTAAAAACTCTTTAAAATCCTACTAGATTAAACAAAGGCTACTTTTTAAGCAATTAAGTATAATATTTGAGTAAGAAAAATGTCAATAAGAATTTGAAAGTAAGAGAATAGTTTGGAGAATACACCTACAACACATGATCTCAAATATTTCAAAAACAACTTAGCTAAACTACCATTAAAAAATGAAAAAAAAAATCAATCCATTAACCAGACTACAAACTAGAAAAAAAAACTTTTAACATAACCAGATAATTACAATAAGGTTTGTGAATATTAAAAGGATATGCCTTGGTTCTTTTAAAAGAGATATCTTCAGTCTCATGTCTCCACTTTCAGTAAAATTTTAAGATGACACTTGATTGTATTCACTGTAAAAATAAAAGGAGGGAAAACATAACTCAGCAGAAAAGACAAATATACGTGCACAGGAAAAGAAAAAGACAAAGCAAATAAAAATATCCCAAGGAGAACCACAATACCTTTAATCTTTCTAGCTTCAAGTACACAGAAAAAGAAAACTAGTGGGTGTCCTAATCCTGCCAAGAGGTGATGGGGAACCTTGGCTTGAACTCCAGAGGTCCTCTATAACCTGCCTGAGACAGTCCTACAAATCCAGTACACCAGTAAGTAAATTTGGTCTAGTAAAGAATATCCTAAGGCTGCTCTGAGGCCAATCAAAAAATTCTGCAAAAGGGGAACTCTGAAATCACAGATCAATTTTGATTCTGTCTAACGGATATCAATTAAATTCATATGGTCTGATAGAGGACTAAACTATATTTTTAAGAGCCTTAATTCTAGAATCCATGTGGAAAAAATACATTATCAACCTAGTGGTCCAATCTGGTGGGGTTTACATTCCTTTGGGTGGAGATACACTGCCCAACAATTATAGCTACCACTGTGGTAATGTGAAAAACAAATGGCTTACTTAAGAAACAGGTAATAAATTGCTTATAAATGTTACATAAGCTGGCCATGATGGCACATGCCTATAGTCCTATAGGAGTTTGAGATACAGTGCAAGGGCATCTCAAAGTTGTATAAGTTGTATAAGAATCACAATGTAATTGCCAAATGAAAACTTGCAAAAAGAAAAATAACACCCCCCAAATCACCACATAATCAAAAGACACATGTCAAGAAAATGCTAGTCTGAATACAATTTGCATTTATAGACTTTTTTCTGAGCCATATCACACTCTTAAAATGAAAACTAAAGGGGAAAAATCTCCTTATCAAGAAGAAAATTACTTCTAACTATATCAAAGGAGTTGTGCTTACTATATATGTGAATTCAGCAAGAATTTTCTCCCTCAGAAAATATCTGTCCCTATAATCAAGACTTTTAGATTAGCAAGGAATAAAAACAACTATATTTCAAAGCACTCTTTTTACCTTTTCTCTCTTCTAGTTCTCTTGGGTGATTTCTCATGACCTTCAAAAGTCTGAAAGCTGGGTTTGGTAGTACATGCCTATAATCTCAGCTCTTGAGAGGCTAAGGCATGAGGATTGTAAATTTTAGGCCAGTTTAGGCTACATACTGAGAACATGTCTCAGAAAAACAAGCAACAACAAAAACAAAATGTGAAAACTATTGGTAGCACAGCCAAAACTAGAATATAATCTATCCCAGGCACAATTCACAGGCTAATTTTTTTGGTCCTTAGGAGTTTTCCACATTTCTTAAAACTTCTTTACTTGGGAGGCTGAGGCAGGAGAACTGCAAGTTGCACCCAGCCTCAGGAACTTAGCAACTTAACAAAACCCTATCTGTGGTATCAAAATTTAAAATTAATTAATTTTTTCATATATTTATTTGCTGCTTTTACTTCTTTGAGAAATGTCTGTTCATTTCAGATGCCCATTTTTGAATTGGGTCTTTAAATTTGGGGGATCTGATTTTTTTCAATTCTTTATATATTCTCAATAGTAGACCTTTGTCTGAGGTACAGCTGCTAAAAATTTCTTCCCACATTGCAGGTTGTATCTTAGCTCTGTTGGTAGTTTCTCTTGCAGTGCAGAAGCTTTTTAATACGATGAGATCCCAGTTGTTGATTCTTTGTGCTAGCTCCCGTGCTACTGAGGATTTGTTCATAAAGTCATTTCCTATGCCAATGTCATCAAGAGTTCTACCTAACTTATCTTCCAGCAAGTTTAGTGTTTCTGTCTTAATATTTAGATTTTTAATCCACTTCGATCTTAGTTTAGTGCACAGTGATAGGTATGGGTCTAGTTTTAATCTTTGGCAGGTTGAAATCCAGTTTTTCCAACACCATTTATTAAATAGGCTATCTTTCCTCCAATGAGGGTGGTTGGTCCATTGTCAAAGATGAGGTGGCTGAGTATGTCTGGAGTTGTTTCTGCATCTTCTAATCTATTCCACTGATCCTCAGGTCTGTTTCTTTGCCAGTACCATGCAACATCACCGGTCATTCGAGAGATGCAGATGAAAACAACTCTGAGATTCCACCTCACCCCACAAAGAATGGCTGCTATCAAGAAATCAACCAGTAACAAATGCTATCGGGGGTGTGGAGAGAAAGGAACCCTTCACCATTGTTGGTGGGAGTGCAGACTGGTGCAACCACTGCAGAAATTAGTATGGAGATACCTCAAAGAACTAGGACTACAGATCCCATTTGACCCAGCTATTCCCCTACTGGGAATATTCCCCAAAGAATTAAAAGAATCATACCACAGCGATATATGTGCACCTATGTTTATAGCAGCACAGTTTGTAATAGCTAAAGCTTGGAAACAGCCCAAGTGCCCATCAACTGGAAACTGGATAAAGATGTGGGTTTTTTATAAAATGGAGTACTACTCAGCCATAAAGAATGAGAAACTAGAGACATTTATAGCTAAGTGGATGCATATTGAGGCCATACTCTTAAGTGAAATAAATAGGACACACATGTGTAAATACCGAATAGTTTCTCTACTGTGAGAAACTGAAAGTGTAAATAAGGATGAAAATGATTAAAATGAATAACTGACAATTTGAAATAGGAAAAGGTCCAAAGGTGTAGGGGTAGCAGGAGGGAAAGGGGAAAGGGAAGAAGGGAAAGGAAAAATTATGAGAAAAAAAAAATGGAAACAAAATCTATGTAAATAGGGAAGGGTGGAGGGGGTGAAGGGTGCATAGGTAATGGGGGAAAAAATAAAAAATAAGATAGATCATGTTCAGGTACAAACACCCAATGATAAATGTAAACGTATTGTATACCTAAAATGTACCAATAAATATATGAATAAAAAAATAATATATCCTGGAGAACCTTAAAAAAAATTAAATTAAATTAATTAATTTTTTTGAAAAAGGAAAACATCTGGGGATGTATCTCAGTGCAAAGACTCTGGGTTCAAACCCTAGTATGGCAAAAAGAAAGAAAAAAAACCACATACACGCAACAACAACAACAACAAAAACCTTCTTGTCTTCCATCAGATGCTCTCCAGTTACATTTTATAAAAAAGCAGTTTGCTCACTATAATTCAAATTTACTCAGATTATAAAGATTTTTAAAGAATAAAATCTGAAAATTATTTCTTCCGGAGATGACAAAAACAGCAGATAAGAATTCATACATATATATGTGTGTGTGTGTGTGTGTGTGTGTATATATATATATATATATATATATATATATATGAGTATACGATTAACAAATCAGAAATGTACAAGAACTTGGCAAAAGCATGTCATATTCTACATCAGAAAACCTCAAACTGCTGAAATCCTACTTTCTTACAAGAAGAAATCCTAATACCCTTTATGCAGTAAAGGCAGCATAGTTATTACAAAAAGGAAAGCACCAAGCATTCAGAAACATGATACCGGGCTGGGGATTTAGCTCAGTGGTTTCGCCGCCTGCTGCGCAAGTGCAAGGACCCAAATTCAAGCCTCAGTACCAAAAAACAAAAACAAAAACAAAAAACAAAACGCAAACACGAACTGACCCATTGCCTCTTTCCCTGGGAATTAGCCTATAGAAACATGATCCCAAGGAATCAGATAAAGAGAACGTTGCGACCTAACACTGGGAAGATTCTTCTTGCTCTGAAAATCTTCCTCACACATTCCATTTAGCTGATTTCATGTGCATAGAAGACATGTGCATTTTTTTTTCCAGTACCGGAGATCGAACTCAGGATACCCTGTGCTTTCGAGGCAGGCATGCACCACTGAACTAAATCCCTGGCCCCAACATGTGTATTTTGATATAGGATTGAATAGAATAAGGAAAAAATTCAAGGAACCACCTGAATGCGTTATTGAGGTGTTTTTATCTGCTCAAAGGCATTGTGTCACTGAAGATCTGATTAACAGTGGTATTGAGGTAGTGGGGTGGGGTAGATAATAGAAAATTTCTAGGTTATAAATAACTTTGCAACTTTATATAGGGAGCATAAAGCAGCAACTATGGCTTTGATACTACAAATCATTTACAAATTGTCTTTGTTCCTGTATGGGTCACTATTTATGAGGCTTGAGAGAGAAAATATGTGCTTAGCAAAACCTGACAGTCTAACCTCCAAATTACACTCCAAAACTGGTTGCTTCTCAGCTCCTCTATCATAGTCCAAAACTATCCTTACCCTCTGCCTCAATTATTGCAGTAGGTCCAGGAACGGTTTTTCTGCTCCTACACTTAACTCCTTCAAACTTTCTAAATACACTAGGTAACTATCCTTTTAAAGCTAAATCAGAACACAAAGGCAAGTGTGGCTAAAACAAAGTGATAAAGTGACTAGCAGAAAATTAGGAAAAAAGGGAGCACAAGTTACGTGGCTCTTGGAAAGTCACAATAAAAGCTTCAGTTTTTCTTCTGAATGAACTGAGAATGCAGTGGAGGGGTTATGAACAAAGGAGTGATATGATTTGACTTACATTTTATAAAGATCACAAAGGATGGTATGCAAAAAACCAGACTATTAACAGAGAAGATGAAAAGAACTGGAAACAAAGAGAACAGATAGAATTTCAATAATCCAGAAGAAAGATGAAAGTGGTTTGAACCAGGAAAGGTGAAGAAAGCAGTATTACAAGTAGCATGAAGTGGTCAAAATCTGAGTATGTCTTGAAGAAAGACTCTACAGATTTGCTGATAAATCAGGTTTAATGCAAAGAGTAGTAAAAGATGTCTCTAGAGTTTTAACACATAATTGGAGTTGCCATTTACTAAAAAGAGGAAGACTAACAGGTTGGAACAAGTGATATTCAAAATTCTATTTTGATAGGTTAAGTTCAAGGTGTTACCAGACATCCCAACGGCGAAGTCAAAAAGAAACTGGATATACAAGTCTCCATGAAGGAAAAGGTTACTGGAGATATTAATTAGATATTGGTTTGAAGAGTCTAAGG